TTCATTCAGATTTCCATAAGAATCTGGTAATTATTGAATGAAAATGTGCTACAGTTTTTTAATTTTCACAGGGAAAATATAATCTTCAGTCGTGTTAAGTTGCAGCTCTTCTGCTTTGCATAGGTATTAGACCAGGTACTTACTTATTCCATATGCCGGGGGAATACTGTTACTTCCAGGCTTGTGGAGGAGGGAAAGGATGGTTGTCTCTTTCTGACAAAATGAGTAACTGATAGATATGTTAGGTATGGTTTGGCAGGAGAGATTAGGGTCCCCTCTTAACACCCTATAAGTAGGCAGTCAGATCACCTGCCTGGAAGCATGGAATGTCTTGGTCTAAATCAGTTCCTTTGGAAGGACTTACCACATCCCAGGTGAATATTCTCCTATTTGCTGGGGAAACACCATAAGGAACACCATGCATATCCTTGCTGGGGTTGTGGTTGTTGGTTGATTCATTGTGCTAAGGCTGCATTTACTAGGCTGGGCCCAGTAAGTGAAATAGATAGGAAGATGCTTACTTTGCCAGTTAAAAATCAGACTTCAGCAAAAGAGTTGCAGCATATCAGCATTGTTGAACTTTTTCTTCAAGTAAAGACAATTTTTGGACTTTCCAATGAGAAATTTTGACACTTTATAAGTCAGGGGGTGGGGAAGTTTGATTGCTGCCCATTCTCAGTATAGTGCTCTGTTCCTTGCTTCGTACTGGACGTTGTTTACATATAATAACATGGCAAGGTGAATTCAAAACTAACCTGATGTAAAAAAACAACCAAAGAAAAAACCCATTCAGACTTCTTGCCAGGTGTTGAATTCTATCCTGTCTGACTGGAGAAATAAGGTAATCCCATTTAATTTGCTGAAAAGGAGAAACACGGCCCTGATTTTTGTATGGTCCTGAATCCTTTGCTGTCTGCAAGACTTGTGCAAAGTAATATGAAATACTACTTTTCCAGTTCCAAGGTGTTTAACACCTGTCTCTCTCATGTAAATGATTTGTAATGTGCAAAGCAACAGAGATTTTGATCTGACAAATGTTGTTGCTGTTAGTTGCTTTGTGGCAAGTATTCTTAAACCCTGTTACTGCTTGGGGTTTTTTTCAGGACCTAGCCTTGCACTCTTTAATGTGGGGGATTCTGGAGAATTAGTGGGTCCTCCAGTCGTATGTGTTCTAGTGATTTGAGTAGGGTAATCAACAGTAGCAGAATTCAAATGATAGTGATCCTGTGAGAGGTTTCTTACTGAAAGCTTCAGAGGATAGTAAAAGAAACAGAACACCAAAAAATGCATTCTTGTTTCTTCCCTAGATTTTGACCTTTCAGAAGGGAAAGAATATAGAAGAAAAGAGAAGAAAGTTTTTTGAGATAAATGCACATAGTAGGGAAAAAGGCAGATCTATGAAGGGTAATAGTAAACAGAGTTGGAAATGTAATGCAGTATATGCTGTAAAAATCTGAGCCACTTCACTTGGTCACAAAAGAAGCATTTGCCTTTAAAAAAAAAACAAGTTACCTGACAAAGTTATTTGTAGGAATATATCTTGTGTGTTACAGCAGTGAGAAAAGTTGAATAGATAGATAGGGTTTTCTTTAGTTACGCAGAATGGAGATTGCATCTTTACTTGAGCTGGAGCACTTCATAGTCTTTGCTCAGCTTGCAGATTGTGAGATTTTCATTTGCAGAGAGTGAGTAGCAAGGTGGATTTAATGAAGATTACATTTGATTTAAATCAGTTTAAAAGTGTAATCTTTTGTATAAAATAGTGAATGTGTCAGATGGGTTGAAGACAACATTGGAAAACTTCTGGTTTTTTTCTCTCTTATTCCAGCCAGAGTGTGCAGACTACTTAGGTCAGGTTTAGTGAATGTGGACAATAGGGAATCTTAGACAGATGATCTTTCATATTTCAAATACATAACTGTAAACAATAACAAGTCTCAATATTCAAGGAATGTTTTAATTTTCTCATTATGGAATGAAGCTGGTAGTATATGTGAAAAACTTTTTTTCTGTAGTGTGAAAGCTCGTTTCCTTTGAACTTAAGGCCTCTTTGTGCAGTGATTTCTAAAGTCTAGGAGTTTTTCAGTCTTGCTACATTCAAATACAGAATCTGAAAAATGGGTGCTAGCTGCAGGAGGTTTTCCTTGAACACACAGGCCTCAGCTTTGCATCGTATCTGTTATATTTATACATCTGTCCAGCAAAGTCAAGACATTCATGAGAAGTCAACATGCCTTTTCTGAAAAGAAATCTTGCCATATCTATTCTCCAAAAGGCTCTGCAAACACACGAACAAAGAGTTTGATTTCTGAGGATTTCCAGAGCACATTCAGTGAAGCTCCTCATTAAAGGTGTCTAGAAAAACTTGATGCTTGGAATATGAGGGAAGATCTTCATAAACTTCTGTTTAAATCTTAAAAACTAGTTTCGTCAATGAAGGAGATGTGATAAGCAGGACTTTGTTCAAACCCAGTACAGCTATTCTAATATGCAGTTATTTTGTCAAGCTATGTTGCTGTAAAACCAAGTTGTATTTACCCTGTTCCTCTTACTTTCAGTAATACCTATCGTATGATTGAACAAGATGACTTCGATATTCATACAAGATTGCACACCATTGTGAGGGGGGAGGATGAGGCAGCTATGGTGGAGTCGGTGGGCCTTGCATTGGTCAAGTTACCGGATGTCCTGAACCGCCTGAAACCTGACATAATGATAGTTCATGGGGACAGATTTGACGCTTTGGCCCTGGCCACATCTGCAGCCCTGATGAATATTCGCATTCTTCACATTGAAGGTGGAGAAGTCAGTGGTACCATTGATGACTCTATTAGACATGCGATAACCAAACTGGCCCACTACCACGTGTGCTGCACAAGGAGTGCAGAGCAGCATTTAATAGCCATGTGTGAAGACCATGACCGCATCCTTTTAGCAGGCTGTCCCTCATATGACAAGCTTCTCTCTGCCAAAAATAAGGACTACATGAGTGTTATACGCATGTGGTTAGGTGAGCAGTTGATGTTCTATGTTGTTCATATGACTTTCAACACTAGACAAACTCTAACTAGGTTGTCAGTCTGTGGGGTATGTTGAGCAGTGGCTCTGAGAAAACTACAGGAAAGAAGGAGACAGACTTCTTGCTAGTAAGTTTAAGTTTGCTTAATTGGACATGATTATCAAGCATCAACTTGCTTCTCAAAAAAATAGTATATTTGGTAATAGTATCTAGTATTTCTTCCCTTGTACATTTTATTTTTCTTTTGTTCTGTGTTCTACCATGTATAGCTGGAGAGCTACAAATCTGTCCTAGTAAACACATCTGGGTCTTTTGCCAAATGAAAAAAATAACTCCTTAAATGGGTAATTTCTCTGAGCTGAACGATTTAAAAACAGAACAGGCTGATATGAACAGTTATTTTGGTGTAAAGGATGTATTTAAGTAGAATCAAAGCTATTCAGGGCTAATCTAAAAAAAATCAAAGGGAATTTATATTATGAACATTCTTTTGAGGAATGCACTGCAACAGGGCAACATGCGCCAAAGGTGTTGATGTTTCATACTCATTGACTTACAAATAATTCCTGTAAACAATGGGGTTTTATGTTTGCTTTTTATCTTTGACAAAGCAATATCCTATATGGCACGTTAAACTGTGTAGCTGGAAGCTGGAATTTCCTCTAGATCACTAGGTAAATATTTTGCAGATAAACCTTTTTATTGAATGTACTAAAACAAGTACAACTGACTTTTTTAAAGCAATGGAATGAAGTCTTTGCTTGAGGATGGATAACTGATAGAAAACCTGAGCAGCTTCAGGGGTTTCATGTTATTCCAGATTTACGCTGCTATGAGAACAGGCTTTTGACCCTGGTATAGTCTTGCAAAGCTTTAGATGTAGGCCTGCAAGTTAACAGTTTATTGGGGTTTAAGTAGTGGTCTCTAAAGTTACAAGACTTGCTTAGAGATGCACATAACAAGCTAGATCCTCTTGTTACTCCCTTGAGTTTTATTGCAGCTCTGAAATTTATGTGTTAGATATCCCATTCAGTGCCTTGGCTGTTCAGGCTTTCACACCACTTTCAAAAATATGTCCTCCCTTCCTCTTACTTTTCTATGCCAATAAAAACACTTTTCTTGGGCTCCATTTGGACAGGTGAAGATGTCAAAACCAGAGATTATATAGTTGCTCTGCAACATCCTGTAACCACAGATATTAAACATTCCATAAAGATGTTTGAGCTGACACTAGATGCACTCATCTCCTTCAACAAAAGAACACTTGTTCTATTCCCTAATGTGGATGCAGGTGAGTAAAATACTTCCATCACACAGGGACACATAACAGATTGTCTTTAAAGCATACATTGGTTCTTATGGAATGCTTTTATCCCAGAACCTCCAGCCAGATGGAAATAGCTGGGTGGTCTCAGCATCACATGTGCATCTGCTGCAGCTCCATGTTCACATTGCTAGAAGACATTTCAGCTTTTCAGTGTGGGGAGGAAGATGAAGGGAAACCATGTGAGATGTAGAAGCAATATTGATGCCTCTTAAATTAAGTAAAAACTACAAAAAGATTTTTGCAGTGGATTTGGGGATCAAAGTTGGGCTTATGTGCCCAGCTCTGCAACTTAGACTATGAGGATAAAAAAAGAACAAAACCAACTCAGAGCTGGCAACTCAATCAACAGGTACTAGCTTCTTTGCATGTTTGGACTTTCAGTTTAATGATAGAGCTTGAATCATTTATTCTACCTCTTGTTTTTCTGTAGGAAGCAAAGAGATGGTTCGGGTGATGAGGAAGAAGGGCATTGAACATCATCCCAATTTTCGGGCAGTAAAGCACGTACCATTTGACCAGTTCATTCAGCTAGTTGCTCACGCTGGTTGTATGATTGGTAACAGCAGTTGTGGTGTCAGAGAGGTGGGTGCGTTTGGTACACCTGTCATCAACCTGGGGACACGTCAGACAGGAAGAGAAACAGGTACATGTTTGCTTAACTACTTCAATTTCTTCATGGTTCTGAGGGTTTTTTCTTCCACTGGATAAAGTCAAATGAATGCTTGACTGGGGCTATATTGCAATATCAGTGCAACATAATTTTTGACCCATTTTAAAGCTTCACTGGCTATTCCTGTATTGTGTTAGTGCTGCTTGGTGTTTTATGTAAGATAATCAGGCTTTTATCTATAGACAAGTTAAAATATATCTCCATTTGCAGTGGCTTCCATTTAGCAGAATAGGCAAAGAATTGTTTTCCTTTATAGCTAGTTTGATGTTTGACATGTATTAAAATTTCACTTTAAAAAATATAAACGCTTTACTGCTTCAGGAAGTGGTGTGGTATTTCACAGAGGTGCAGATATGACACAAATAGCCATTTATCCCATTTTCATTCATGCATTTTTAATTTAATAATAGATTTCTGTTGAAGGCTAATATTCTACTCTCTAGTGTTTTGTAATGCCTGACAGCATATCATAGGAGTCACCATTGCATTACTGGGAGGAAGGGGAGGCACATAATAGATGAAGAGCAATGTTGATCGGGCTGGAGTCTTTCCTGCTCAGAGAAAACAAAAATAATTATTTCTTCATTTCTGAAGCAGTTCTTATCCTCTAATTAATTTGAGGAGCTGACCTGTCCTAATATGTTAAATTTTATCATCTAGGTGAAAATGTTCTTCATGTTCGTGATGCTGATACACAGGATAAGATTCTGCATGCTCTACAGCTGCAGTTTGGTAAACAGTATCCATGGTAAGTACATTCTTACTTCTTGCTTCATTGAAGGGGTTGTTAAAGCAGTAGAGTAAAAGGCATTTAGTTCATCATATTTGGTTGGAGTGCTTATAATGCACTAATCTGAGGCTACAAATTTTTCTTCATTTCACATACCTCATTCAGAATCATAGTACAATGTCCAGTATGCAGATTAGTATTTGTAGAGCAAAATGTTACTAGTAATGTTTTGATATAAATAGTAATTTAACATCCAACAGAAAGTCAAGAGGACAATATTCATATGTTAGCTTAGACTAGCATGATTAAGAGAGCTCGTTCCATAGTAACAGAATAGGGGAGAACATCCTGTGTGTCTGCCTCCGACTCATGCCTGAAGGACACCCTACTTTATAGCTAGATTGACCTCAGACATGATACATAGAGAGTCCTGAGTGCATGCTTCCAGAGGAGCTGCAGTATTATAGCAAGATGCTTTTCGTTATTCTTCAGCCATACAGTATTGACCCTCAGTTCTTTAACATAAAAGTTGTCATAAACTTCAGGAGATAATATTTGTCTAATTAAGGACAAGAATTAAAAGTCTGTTTCTTAAGAACCTCAACAGAGTAATAAAACTGAATTCTGTAATACCAAATGTCTGACACCATGTATGATGGTATTTTAAAACCAGACTTACATGTTGAAAACTAACATGAATGTAGAGTTTATGTGGTTGTCATCTGTGTGATAAGTATATCTTGTCTGGACTTGTAGCACATACATAAACTTTCCATAATTTTAGGGGTTTATTATGTGGGTCCTTTCACTAAACTTTTTTTTTTTTGTATCATTAGCTTTCCAGTATTCTACATTCCATGTTTTGTATTCCAAAATGAAGCTAACGGTAAACTTACACAATCTGTTGTGTGCTCTTCTATCTACCATATCCCATGACAGACTTGAGTAATGTGAGCTGCAGAATTGTTATAGTAGCCATATCACGATTTTGTAATGACACAGTCTTACAGCCTTCTGTCATATAAAGAACTTTATAGATTGCAGTGTTATTTCCAACTAAATGAATTTTTTTTTTCATATTACAGCTCAAAAATATATGGAGATGGTAATGCTGTTCCACGGATTTTGAAGTTCCTTAAATCTATTGACCTCAAAGAGCCACTGCAAAAGAAATTCTGTTTTCCTCCTGTCAAAGATAATATCTCTCAAGATATTGACCATATTCTAGAGACACAGAGTGCTCTGGCTGTGGATCTAGGTGGAACAAATCTCCGAGTAGCAATTGTCAGTATGAAGGTAAATATTCTGTTGTGCTTTTAGATATTCTGCAAACTCTACTGGGCTTTGTGGTTGTGTTCCTACAGTAGGGATATGGGCTTCTGATGCAAAAGAGCTCCAAAAGAAAGCAATACTACTGGCTTCTGCTGTTGAGGGGTAAAGTAGGCTTCTCCTCATTTGTTGCACGTCTCATACAGTCTTGCTACAAATTACCTGATGGTTTGTTCTTCTAGGACTGCTTGCAAACTAGCAAAGCCCATTTGCTGGTGCATGGTCCTAGCTGCTCCCTCTCTGTGGGAAGTCATACAGACCTCAAAGAATAGGACAACTTTTTTAGATGCGTTGGTTTCCCTTAAAATGTGACTCAGTTCACCCTGCAACTTTTTGTATGTTAAGCAAAAAACTGAAAGGCTCCAAGAGCAGTCTTTTTACTTCCCTGTTGCCTTACACAGTCATGTGATGGACACACACAACCATTTTGAGTGACATCTAGCAAAGCACTTTACTGAGGGAGAGTGGTGGGTTCATGGTGGGGGGGTTCAGGATACAGAATTTTGCATCTGTTCTACCAAAAGAATAGCCAGTAATAAAAAAGTCTCAGTATTTTCCTGCATAGAAGCATAATCAGTAAGATAGAACTGAGCCTCAGCTGGAACAGTGTTCACTGTAATGCATTACACCACAGAGATGTAGACCAATTGGAGACAGAACCAGGAGGTAAAACAACAGACATGGAAAAGAGGGAAGAGTAAAAATCCTGAACTCTGCAGCACTTTAAAGATGTGAATAAAACTTCTGTTGAGAAATTTTTGGGTTTTATTCTCGACAGTATTGGACAATTACTCCTGCCATTACACTGCATATTTCCAGCTAGATCAGTTAGACATGGTTACCTGGAAAGAAAAGTAAGTTGCTTGCAAAAAGATGAAGGGCTGTGTAAATTGAACTGATATGGTCCAGAATCTTTGCATTCATTTAAAAGGGGGAGTCTGGCAGATCTTTAAGCTCTTAAAGACAACTTTTAAAAGTATAATTTTTTAGAAGTAAAATTGACACTGCTTTTGCTGCCAACACAGCCTGGAAAATAAATGAATTTTTACAAACCCTTTTCTTTTTGCAGGGCCTAGCTTGAAGTGGCATTTATAACAGTTGAAATGTTAGCAAATCAGAGTGAAAAGGATGAGACTTCCCTAATAAAGTTTACACAACATAGAAGCATTTAACAGGGAATGGCAAAGTTGAAGGTGTTGTTTTCTTTTCATGAAGAAAATAACTGAGCTTTCAAAAGCTCCTTTTAAAAGCTGTTGTGTCTTCTGATAATGTTTGCTGCAGCCTTGCCTTCCAAAATAACTTCTGCTGATTCCCCTCCCCCTCCAAACCAAAAGAGAAGAGGAAACTAAACAGGAAAAAACCCAAACCCTATTGCTGATGTGATGCTGAGATGGTGGGTTCTAATACTCAAACCATTGACATCTTGGAATTTTCTAAGTTATTTTGGCAATGACTCAGCTATGTTGCATATAGGCTGTCTTTGTTAATCCTTTTTGCTTAGTTGTATTAATACAATGCTGTTCGCTATATTGTAGAGTACAGGGGATATATTAGTGAGAATAACATTGCTAAGCAGCAGATCTTCTGCAGTTTCCTGGCCTAATCCTGCAATATTAACATTACATTAAGATTAGTTCCTTAGTACCCACAGATTCAGCTACGCATAAAGAATGCTTTTATTACCACCGCATGACTCCTAGAGTTGAAAATAATCTCTTCCTCCTGGACCCTCGCTTCACTGTACAACATAGATCACAGTAGATGGTACTCCAGAAATACTTCAAGTGACTCAGAAGTATAATTGCTTAATAGAAAAGTTATTTCTGAAAGGAAAGAAAATTTTGCATTGAAATTTCTAGCATTTCTCTGTGGCTGACTGTCCTCCTGCTGGTAAAACAGCAGTGTCTGTGACACCATGCAAAACTGTCATGCCGTCAAATTGGAAACATTTTATTCTTAAAGAACTATGGGTTTTCTGTCTTTTGTAGCAATTACTACTCTCTTACTTTTTTTTAACTTTAGTATTGAGCTTAAGTGCATTGCTGTATCATGGTTTGCTCCTAACAACAGTTCCAGTAGCTCCTGTGATAATTCCCTTATACAATCCATGTGTTCCTTAAAATATGTATTTTATTTCAGGAGAAGTTGATTACAGAAGCAGAATGTAATGCCTAATCTTGCAAAGTTTTCCCCCAGAATTGTCAGTAATCGTGCACAGAACAGCCTGTAGGACCAAGATCTAAGGCATGCATGTGTATTTTTTAAAAGAGAGAAGTTACAACTCTCCATTTTCAAGTAGACCTATAGTTTAAATTGAAGAGAAATTTCATCATAAGTACATTTCTGTGGGGCATGTTTTGATGTTTTTAATTTCTAGGGTGAAATAGTTAAGAAGTATACCCAGCTCAATCCTAAAACTTACGAAGACAGGCTAGAATTAATTCTAAAGATGTGTGTAGAGGCTGCATCAGAGGCAGTAAATGTGAACTGCAGAATTTTGGGAGTAGGTAAGTTAATAAATACTTTGTCTTTTCATCTAAGTTTTTCAACATGAAATGAAATCACTACTGAATAATTTAAAACACCACTCTAAACCAGATCCTGTGTATTTTAAGCTTTTAAATTCTATTCTTAACAGAAAAACTTTTTAAAATGTCTGTGAAAATGAGAAGCTGACTATAAAGACTGAACTTGCCCCAGTCTGTAACAGCCATGAAATCAATCTGCTAAATTATATCTAAACTGTATCTAAAATGTGTGGTATATAGATTTTGTGGATTTTGAAGCTCCCAGCAGTCTCAGAATTGAGTCAGATGCTTAGGGTGTATTGAAACAGCTCTTGAAACAACTGCAGCTGACTCAAGTTTCCTCTACTTGTCTGTAAGCCTTTCTTTATGGCCAGGATCAACTATGCAGCAGAATTCTCAAGTTACACTAGGGCAGACTAAAAACGCTAAAACACTAGATTAAATTTGTGGCTAACAGACAAAAGCAGACTTTTTGTTGATTTCCTGTTTATTTATACTGTAGTAGAGTTCCAAGTTAAACCGTGTGTTTATACTAGACAGGACTTCTTCAGTTTAATGATGACTGGGAGCTTTGGTCTTAGATATTACAGTTATTGATGAAGGTGTCAATGAATATGCCCTGGATTTTTAAGGAGGACATAAAGTCCTCATTTTAGCTGAGAAATCCTCCAAAAGAAAAGTAGTTTGCTCCAGATCAAAACTTACTTGAATCACACAGTACAAAAAAAAGTTAATTTGAACTTCTTTTAAAAGTATTTTTCAAAACAACGTTAGGTACAAAGTTGTAAGAAGAAACATGTCAGTCCGCCAGACCAAATCTTTCAGACTATCTGTTGGGTAATACATGACTTACACATCCAGATTGTTTTATTGTGTCCAAATGCTAAATTTTGAAAGCCTCATAGTTCCTGTAGAAGAGATGGTAAACTCTGCAGTAGTCACTACTGCAAGTATCTAAGCACAGTTTAGTCAGCTATTTTTATTAGGATAATGAAACCATAAACTGGTTTACAGAGGTTTATATATGGGGAAAAAAAATTCCTTTTGTTTGTCATTTTACAAGAATTACATTTCTATTCATTCTTCAGCCCCCTTCCTTCTGTGACTGATTGCTTACTGTTCAATTACTGAGTAATGAGGGGAAAAGTTGTGCTACAGAGTAAGAAGCTTCTTGCCTAGCTATTTTTATTAGCTGCTCTTTGCCTCATTCAGACTCATAGTTTGAATCAGAATACTAGCTGAAATTGATAGCTCTCTTTAAAGAATGCCATACAATTATTTCCTATGGGAATAATTAATGTATTAGACTATGGTTGTTTCCTTAATGCTAATAATCATAAGACAGAGAGTTCCTGTAACTTTGGAGAAATTTTTGCAAGACTGAGCAGAAGGGTTGGACTTAATCTTGGATTTCTTTTCAGTAACACTGTCCTTCTTCCAGCTATCATAGGTAAGGGTAAAAGTAATACTCACTGCAAATGAATGAGGAGAAAGAGCTACTAACAGAAAGCAATGGAAAAAAATGTTTTCTTCCTTTTAGTCCTATAAACTGCTGTCAGCACACAAAATGCTAGCTACATGAGCATAACTTCGACTGAAGAGCTCCCACTAATACAAAACAGGTTTGCAGAGCAATTAAAAAGTACAACTGAAAAAGACTGAAAAAAAGAATCATCCATTTCCAGTATCTTTTTGTCTTGATCAAATAAGTCCAGACTGCAACAGCTCTGCAGTTAGTTTCAATTTTGTTATTTTTCTTGGGTTTTTTTTCCACTTAAAACAAAGCATTTATATTAAAAACAGCTTTATGAAAATGAGGGAGAAGTAAAGACTATTAGGCCCAAAGAACACTAGCAGCTGTTACTGAATTTTTTTAGTTTACAAAACACACTTCTTAAACCAAAGGCAGACCCACATCTATACACAAATACTGCATAGAGGTACTTGCTAGAGAGCTTCTATTTACTGCTATTAGGCAGCATTTTAAGTTCTTTCTGGAGCTGACAGTAGAGAAAAGAGGATTAAGAGATAGCTTCTGCTAATTCCCATAGTTGTTTACATCAATTACAGAACTATGGCATTTAGAAAAAGTAGACATGTTTTACTTAGCTATCACTGAGTTAGCAACTAAGTATTAAATAAGGTTTTATTATAATAAACATTTGGTTCTTAAAATCCTAGGGAGACCTTCACAGATTGACATTGGGAATGTCGTTTGTATTAGGTATTTGCTGACAGGTTCTCAGATTAGTTTTTCTTTACAAAGTGAGATTTTTTGGGATCTCACAGCTTTAATGTTCAATTCAGCTGCTTGCCGTGTAGCTTTTGTGGCTGTTCTCTATTATAATGTTGACCATGGGACTCTGTTTTCTGAACATCTTTAGATAAGTGACACAATTATATAATCTCTGTACAAGAATAATAGCTAAAACGTTCAAATTTTGTTGTCCAGAGCTAAATACCTCCATATCAGAGTGGCCTACTTTTCAAAGATCCTGACAGAGTCCATTAATTTTGGTAGCCTCTCCAACTAGAGAAAACTTGTTTGGCTAATAGTGCCTATTATTAGCCACTATTCTGTTCAGTAGACAAATCTCTGAACACAGTCCTGATTTTTCTGTAGAACAGTGTATTTTTAAGTAGAAATCACTACTCAAAGTCCAGTGATTATTTTTAGTCATTCTAAGTCTTGACAGTTACAGAAAATTTCAGGACACTTTACTATTCTAGGGTTTGAAAAATTTATTTTGTACAGGTTGCTATTGTATGTCTTTCATACATGACTAAAAAGAAACACAAGTATTAAGTGATTTGCTGCAATCCTGCCTGAATTAGGAACATTAATTCTCTGACAAACACTAATCATTACCCATCTAGTTAGTCTTAAGATATTGGGTGCATTGTGATTAGAGCAGTGGAGTTCTATGAATTATCTTTACATGTCAGAAATTGTACTGCCAGTAGTAACTAGAAATCTTTACGTTCATGCTCTGCTTCAAAGCCTAGTATTAGAAATAAAAATACTTGTCGTTGCAAAGAGAAAAAAAGATCTTTTACTTCAAGTATTACACAGACTTAGTTTTGATTTTTCTGCCCTGTATTTCTGTGACTTAGGTGTTTCCACAGGTGGACGGGTAAACGCCCGAGAAGGGATTGTGCTTCACTCAACAAAACTCATTCAGGAGTGGAGCTCTGTGGATCTCAGAACTCCAATATCTGATGCTCTGCACCTCCCAGTCTGGGTGGACAATGATGGAAACTGTGCTGCTCTAGCAGAGAGGAAATTTGGTCATGGAAAAGGAATAGAAAATTTTGTAACACTCATTACTGGTACAGGTGGGTATGTTATAGTTCAATGAAAGTCAACGTTAAAATACCAGCATGATCATTCAGAGGGTCAGCAGATCTTAAAAGCATAAACACGACCACTGTGCCTGGAAAACCCTAATATATTAATGGTTCTTAAACCAAAAATCCTTTTGCTTCTATATCTGTTTGTTTCTTTTAGGGTACTTTTAATTTATTCAGGCAAATTAAACTGTTTGCATAGTATAAGCTTCTTGATAAAAGAAGTTCTGATGCAGCTATGCAGGCAAATAATTTTTTCAAAACAAGGAAAATCTGAGCAACTTTAGCTGGAATAATTTTGATTTTTTCAGCTTTATACCTTAATTTTCTTTCAGCTACAGAAATACAAGTCAGATCAGTATACGCATCTAGAAGTTAAGCAACTGAATATGAGAGATAATGCTTATTATATCTCAAATGCAAATGTGCAGTAACTTTTTTCTCATTTAAGTATATAGTCCTTCAGAATGGTGACAATAACAAACTGATAAATCCCCACCCAGTCTGGGAAGGGGCAGCAGAGGACTGCAGATTTACATGTCCTGGCTCTAGCACACAGGTTTAGCTGTGTAAATACAGCATTAAAACATCTCCTCTGAAATGCAAAATTTTAAGGCCACTTGAAAGGTTACTTTTATGCATAAAAAGCATGACTCAGAAGCTTAAAAGATCTGTCCATAGTAGTTCAGTACCATCCATAGGCTTTTTAAGAAAGGAGAAGCGTGATATAACATTTTGATAAATGTATGAATGGGAAGGACCTATGAGCTTGCTTATTAGGTGTGTCAGAGAAGAGTTCTTCAATAACCAGTAATTTGTGATTTCCAGTATAGAAGACCACTGATGCGCATATTTTATCTTGTCTGTACTAGAATAAGCAAATGTCAATGTCCTACAGAATTGGGGCCTTCCAAAACTGTATGTTATCTTTTTTTTTTTAAAATTATATAATTTTTCATATCTTTGCAGGAATTGGAGGTGGAATTGTTCATCAACATGAACTGATCCATGGCAGTTCCTTCTGTGCTGCTGAGCTTGGACATATTGTTGTATCTTTAGACGGACCAGAGTGCCTGTGTGGTAGCCAAGGATGTATAGAAGCATATGCCTCTGGAATAGCATTACAGAGAGAAGCTAAGAAACTGCATGATGGTATCTATGTACTTTATTTTTGAAAAACTGATTACTAAATTACAGTACAGGAAGAAAATTGCAAAGATGATATTAAGAAAAATAGACCTGCCATCTTTTTTCTAGGAGGAGACAAGAGTAGGTGCACAGGCAACCAGATAGGATTCCTGTGTATGGCCAACTCAGGAGCTGCCAAAACCAGTGTACTACAATACAGTTCTTTTTCAGTAATTGCAATACTCAGGCAAGCCACATTAGGAACTCAAAATTACCAGAAGCATGTAGTAGAGTTTAGTCTCTCCTTTTAAAGTGTGCTGACAGGTATTCTGTGGGGTTTGGTTTCACAGAGATTGTCTTTCAGCAATAGCTTCTCAGTTTTAGATAAGTTTGAGAACATTTATATTTTATTTTATTAACTTTTGGGGCTGACAAGACTAGTGAATTACCATACTATAACTGTTTTGAGTTTGATGCCCTGCTTCTACAAGTAGTTCCCTGAATAATATGGATACGACTGCTTGACTGCTTTGGCTAAACTCAGGGTTGGACAGATTGCTCAGGATTCACGCTTCAGTATGCAAGTAAAAGAGATTTAAAGCTCTTAACTGTTTGTCACCTTCCATTTCTTGATTTACCACATCAACGTTTTTTTTCTCTGCCTTTCTCTCCTCTTCAAACAGAGGATCTGCTTTTAGTAGAAGGAATGTCAATGAAGAAGGAGGAGGTGGTTAGTGCTGCACATCTCATTCAAGCAGCTAAACTTGGGAATGCAAAAGCAGACAGCATTCTCAGAACAGGTGAGAACATAGCCCAAAGGGTGGAACCCTCCCATGATTATATTTTTGGGAATACAGAAATGGTAATGCACTGTAACACTACAAACACAACTCTACATGTTGAGGACCTCTCTATATTAAAATTACTAATGGTAATGAAATGTTAAATATAAATGCTAGAGGAAGTGTGAGCAGAAGTGTGTATCAAAAGTCTCTGTTCAATAAGTAAGATGAAAAGCTTCTGCAAAGATCAGCTTAAAGTGAGGTCTCAACATTCTTATATTGGAACATTTGGGGACATTGTTGGCAAGTGAATGAACAAATGCTTGCTTTGAGCAAGCAATGGCAATTTACGTATTACTTGGAATATTTTATTGTTTTACTAAACACAGTCCTCTCAAATGTAGCTGATAGCACTAAGATGGTAAAGCAATGCTTCCTATTTTCTTTTAGCTTACAAGTGTGGTAATGCATTGCTTTGTCTTTCATCTGTATCATTGGATAACGCACTATTGTGCAATAAAATTGCCTTTTTTTTTGTCTTTTAATTTTGGAAGAAAAATTAATGGTAAACTCTATTGCCTGATAACATAAACTCAAAACTAACTGGTGTATGGAATAGAACACTTCCTTGACAGTGTCATATTTCAACTACTGATACTGGACTGCTTTGAGTATTCTAATTAATTTCTTTTTACTTTACCTTTTCAGCTGGGATGGCATTAGGCCTTGGAGTTGTGAACATTCTGCACACCATGAACCCCTCTCTTGTGATCCTTTCTGGAGTTCTAGCTAGCCACTACGTTAATACTGTCAAAGATGTGATAAATCGACAGGCTCTGTCCTCTGTTAAAACTGTGGATGTGGTGGTCTCAAATCTAGCAGATCCTGCTCTTCTTGGGGCTGCAAGCCTGGTACTGGATTATACTACACGTAGAATATACTAGGTACCTGGATGAATTACAGAAAAAGACTATTCAGATTCCGAATGGGTGGAGGGAATTTCTTTGAGAGCAGCTACTGAATCAGAGTAGTGTTTTGAATAGTTAGTGACTACTTCCTAATTGAGGTATTATCTTTTTGTATTTTTCCTAAATTTCATCTGACTTCATAGGAACTACTGTGCAATTCTGTTGGGTTTTTATCACCCATATGTTGCTTTAAGTGTAGCTGAATTATTTATGAGCATATCTTGATATATGGTGGGTAATATGTGTATGATGTGTCAAATTATAGCTAACACTTGGGGATCCATATCTCATTTCCCACTTATGTGAAATGAGAAGTCTACAACGTGACCAGCTTTTCAGCTTCTAGGCTTCCACCTGTGAAGCAAATACGATGTAATCACCAATAGCAGGTAGTAATTTCCAGTGGATGGAAATGAGGGAAATTGCCTCTACAATCAAAAAGGCTGCATCTGGAAATTGTGGTTCATGATGGAGTGGGTGGAGGCAGTTATTTATTATATCATCTTTAGAGGGCAGAGTCCCATTTTAAAAGCTTTGCATACAAAGAAAAAAAGACCATGGTCTAGTGAGCTTACAGCCTGCAGAGCAGTCCAAACTGACAAGTACAGCAGTAAGCATCCTTGTCTTCTGGCTATGGCCAACAGTAAATTATTGTTTGAGGTTTCTCAAGGGACTTAAGTCTACTACTTTACCAAATTACCAGACAGGGGACTGTTTATTCTTTGGTAGCCAGATATGGCATATCTGATCATAAGACTCTGCCTTTCAGGAACACTCTTCCACTTCAGAGTGACATAGTACATTGCTGGTGACTGAAAGTACACTGTTCTAGTCCTGCATTCACCATTAGCTCAGAGGACGGAAACTAAAATCTGAGCCTTATCCTCACCTTCCACACATTCAGAAGCCTGGGAGCAAAGTATGTCAAATACCAATGAAGGCTTGGCTAGGTAAACCACAGTTTATGTTTCTTTAACTAGTCCTTCTTGATACATAGCTCTGTCTTTATCAATCTACATTTTAGCACACTTTCAAGAAACTGTAGAAATAACTAATTGACAGAAGGATAAACTGAAAAATGGACCCATTGAATTGATAAGCTATCCCAGAAAAAAAGGTACCTGTGGAGGAACAGTCACAAGACCATCCCCTGTCCTGCATTTAATGGCCTATTTTAGCATCTAACTCAGCCACTGATGATATTCTTAGAAACCCAGTAATGCACCAGTAGAGGGGAATAAAAGGGGCTGTATCCACACTCGAACTTTTTCTCCAACCAAAATGAAACAATCTTTTGCAACCACTGCCTTCTGCTGTACAATACTTGGACTGAATAGCTGTTAGTATAGTGAACCACTCTACTAGCTAATTCTGGGATATAATCTACACAAGTCACCTTCACTTCATCCTCTTTTCCACAGGGAATGCTTACTGAGAACTCATATCTTCACAGCAGATTTTAGAAACACCACCAGGGCTCCTTGATGTCTCCAGGAATAATTGTGCAGCCTCTATATCATAGTTTTTCTCAGAGTCCACAAATACTGGCTTTTAACCATTTGCAAAGTTGTAGTAGGCTTTATGTCAACAGGGGTTCTTAGTTCCTTTCCTATGTGTTTTGGTTTACTTGGTGATTCCCACTAACTTCAATACCAGAGCAGTAGCTTCATGAGCAGGTCAAGGAGAAATAGTCTTTGCTCTATGGTGATAATAGCTTAGGTCAGGAGTAACAGTATTGAGGTTCTAACAGAGGAGCCTTGTCACTTTATTTTTCCATCTAGCATCATAAGGAGTGCCTGACTAAAAGGGAGACCAGGCTTTTGCTTTCCAGTGCTCTGGAAAAAAAGCTCTGCATTTTTAGTATCTCAGACTCCAGATAATTTTTCCATAGCAGCTGAAGGGAGGGTGCAGGCATAGAGAAAACATGCTAGACTAAAACACATTTGAAAAATTTTACCCTAAACACCTTTAACATCTAGTCCTGTTAAGTGGTTCTTCAAATGCTTTTGAAAATGTTTTTTCTGTCAACTGGACAAGAACCTACTGCATACATGCAAGTGGTGCAGAAGTCCTTGCAGTCTTCCCTGAGAAGTTTGTGAGTTTATAAAATCAAAGAATTAAAACTCATTTAATAACATAATAGTGATTTTATTTGTTTGATTGTCCTTTTCATTCTTGCACTCCAGGCACTGTGGACCAGAGGTTTCAGGGACAGTAGCTCACAATTGCATCCAGTCTCAGGGGGAGCAAACATCAGATGTTCACAGAACATCTGCAGTACTGTGCTGCCTGTTTGCTTGATACTGGCCCTATGTCCCTCAGAGCAGCCCATACCATGAAAGTCATGGGGCTCCAGTGAGGGCAAACCAGCCTTTATATCCATTACTAGGAGGAAAGAAGGGGAGCAAAAGCACAAGACAACAAGTGAAATCTCTTTCCCAGCTTTTACCAGCATTTCAGAGCCTAAAGCAGCAGTGCATTCTTATTACCTGCACTGGCAGCATCTACCTAATACTACCTCTTGTAGGAGGAGGTTTGGTTTTGCAGTGTCACTGGTAAGTGGATGCACTATCCTAACTGCTGAAGCCTTAGCAAGAATGCCACTATCTGCCCTCTAAGCAGAATTGCATGACACTCAAGAGCTTGGGCAGGAGGAGACCCTTTCATGGACATGCATGTTTATAATCAACATTGCATAAGCAAGTACCAGCAGTACTTAAACAACACAGTGGCAAAAGGTTGGACTTAAAGTCACCAAAAGGTGACTTAAAACTGGAGCTTTAGTGCTGTAGCTTGTAATTGATAGCCAATGTAAGACCTCTACCAGTACCTATACCACATTGCTCCTCATTCTTGCTTCTGGTGGAAGACAACTGCTAGGAACCCAACCAGCCAGGACATGAGACCATGAGGAGGCCAGCTGAGTTTTGCCTAGCTACCTTTTTGCAGATCATTGCTGCTGCTTTGCAAGCCACACAGCTAATCAGTACAGCATGCAGGTTTGGAATTCCTTTTTGGTCTCCTGAGATTCTTTGATCTGCCTCCAGACACTCAGAATTCAAATGCCTTCGCCTTCTGGTGGTCTTGAAGCATTGTCCTGCCTCCAAAATTGTCAGAAACTTGGACATATTACCAACAGAGACAATGTCAAGTTTGTATCACAAGAACACATCACAGATAGTAAGGTACAGACAATTTATACTCTGATTCAATCTACATCAGTGAAATCCAATCCCTGTGTCTATTTCAAATGTTGTGGAGAGTTCACAGCCATTACGGGTAAAACACCTGGACTGTACACCCCTTGGACCATTCCACATAATTGTTTTTGGAAAATGGTTTGTCAAAGGCACATTAGAACTAGTGCTTTGGCAGCTGAAGCATAGGTGCTAAAGCCAAGCATTTAGTATAGTAGTTTTAGTGTGGCACCAAGCTACGTTTGCTTCATAATCTGAAAGAAGATGCTTTGCACTGTAGGCACATAATGTATTTTAGTAACAAATAAAAATGCTTACGAGATTCTTAAGGTGACACAGAGAGCCAAATTCTTAAGCCTTGCTTAAGTTCACACATTTCTAGCACTTCTGGGTTGGTTCATTTGCAAGTTCACACAAAACAAGATCAAACCATATACTTTGCTGTGGTGCCCAAACCACTCACTGCAGTTTGGTATAGTATCAAAAAGATGACTGCTTTTTCAGATTGAGCAAGGCAATGAGAACACAAGTAATACAGCCATTTCTTTCTGCTTCTGTCATAACTGAGCAAAGCTTCTGGGTTCTCAACCCTCCTTCTGACCTCACACAGATAGGGGTTATATCCTTAACAAATCATGAATTACTGTTAGGCTGTTACTGCTAGCTGAAGAAAGCTTTGCATGCTTGAAAGCACACATTTCTCTCCATTTGTCTAAAAAGAAACAACACATCTCCACACCACTTTTGCCTTGTTTGTACTATTAGACCACCATTGCTGTAACTGTTACCTGTAGGTGTTCTGTATCCTACTAGGTCTTTCAGCTTTTCTTTGCATGAAGCACATTACACAAATTTTAAATGCACATAAAGTGCCAAATTTGTGCTTAATTAAACAGGAAATGTATGAAGACTCTATTTAAGGTTTTTTAATATCCTTATTTTTTTCCAAAGGTTCTTTTGTTTTTAATTTCAGTTTCAGAATCCTGTGATAAGTAGGGATATAGCACTTTTTTAAAAAGCTACTAAGATTTTACCTCGTGCTTTGAGCTGGGTAAAATTTCCGCACACGGTAAGCAGCTGTGACCAGTGAACAGCCACATGAAGCAAAAGATTAAATGTGCGCTTGGAACTGTAGCAAAAGACATTACAACACTCTAGTCACACATAGTTGTCTGAAACTTGCATTACTGAGGCAAGACCTAATTAAACACTTCCCTGTAGAACAGTGTTGAGGAGCCCTTTGTTTCTCAGACTAGAACGTACCAAACACTTACATGTGCCATGCCCTACAAAACCCACAAAGGCCTGGGTTATCAGTAACCTTGTAACAACTGAGTAGCCTACAGATCTGGTGCAGCCCCAGTCACACTTCCACCCAGTGCCACTGTGTGCTGCTGCAGCACAACTGTTCTGCAGAGAAACAAGCTTGCCCACATGACAGGTACTACTGAAGGAATCCTCTTTGGCAAACACAACAGATACCCACCTTGTCCATTCTAAAATACAAGCCAGTAAACTATACATTTCCCTTTTTACCAGCTGCTCAGAAAAGAACATCAGAAAGAAACAAGCAAGCCATACCATGTGGGTTTACAGCTGCTTAAACCTGTTACTTGTATTCCTCAATCTAAGGATGAAGGTGCAGTGCTGTCATTTTCAGGCTCTGTGCTTTCTAACAAACCCGTGACCTTCTCTCCATTCCCTTCTTCTCTACAAATGCTTGTTATCATTCAGACAGGCTGGGTGCTGGCTGCTAAAGAAAGCAATTTCTACACCACGGTGTATTCAGTAGGAGTCCGTAGCTTCTGTCTCAATGCTGCATAAGATACAAAGATGCACATGCAGCTGAGGTTTAGTTTGAAGGAATTGTCCAGAGTTTTTTTCCAGACTCCACTGACTGACTCAGTTTTCTACATCAGCTACATGCTATGGAGATAAGCACCACCACTGAAAAGTTAAGGACAGTAAACAGGAATGAGTACCCTCAACAACGCCAGAGATAGCACAGAATTGTCACATGAAGTCACAAAAAGTGAGAGATGCTGACTCCTGAAGGAAACAAGGTAGTGTTCAGAAGCACGTACAAGGGCTCGGATTGGCCCAAAAAAAGCTGAGTATTCTTTCACTCAGTGTCACAAGGTCAAAGTATCAAGAGACACAGGAAGTCTGAGCAGAGCACTGGTGAGGCCACACTTGGAGTGCTGTGTCCAGTTCTGGGCTCCCCAGCACAACAGAGACATGGACATCCTGCAGAGAATCCAACAAAGGGCCACAAAGATAAGGCAACTAGAGCATATCTCTACTATGAGGAAAGACTGAGAGAGCTGGGACTCTTCAGCCTGGAAAAGAGAAGGCTCGGGGGATCTCATCAATGTGTACAAGTATCTGGAAGGTGAGTGCAAAGATGACAGAGCCAGACTCTTTTCAGTGGTGCCCAGTTACAGGACAAGAGGCAGTGGGCACAGACTAAAACACAGGAGGTTCCTCCAGAACATGAAACACTTTTTTACTGTGAGGATGCCTGAGTACTGACACAGGTTGAACCAGAGAGGTGGTGGAGTCTCCCTCCTTGGAAATGTTCAAAAGCCACCTGGACATGGTCCTTGCAAACAGTTTTAGGTGGCCCTGCCTGAGCTGGGGAGGTTGGACCAGATGACCTCCAAAGCACCCTTCCAACCTCAGCCTTTCTGTGATTCTGTGACAGCACTGATAATAGAAGGCAGGAGGGAAACACTGAGCTAGCATACTTGAACATAAATTTAAGGCAGAAGAGAGAATCTACAAAATCTCAGCACAAGAGCTAGAGGAGGTAACTAAAAACCAGAGCTGCTTGTTAAGCATTTCAGCTAGATGGTGTACACAAAAAAAAACGGCAGACACGTTGTTAGCCCCTGCAAACCCAGCTTATAAAACACTGCTTTAACTTCTGTAACATTGCTTTGGCCTTGAATTTGAGAGTCTTTGGCTATTTTCTCAAGACTGCAGCTCAAAAACACACCCTTTGCACAGATAAACTGTCCTATGAGATAGGACAATGTGGTGATTAATCAGTTTCATAACTCACTCTCCTGTCTAATGTGCTGATCTTTCAAATTCCAGAAATTCAAATTAACATTTTAAACATTGTATATTTAATGCAGTGGAGTTTTCTTTATTAAATTACCAATTCATTTTACAAGCCTTTGTTTGTAGAGCTTTGCAGAGAGTGGAAGAAAGGAAGTTCTTAGTCAAGGTGCATGCATAATTGGTCAAGGCTAGCACTGAGTATCAGTATTGTATGGACTTGCTGTCCTTCAGCCCTATTAAACTCACCTGTGGTATCTCTGTGCAGTTCAGAAAATATTTTCCTGCTTTAATCTTCTACGGAATTCACCTTCCAGACCTGTAGTCTGCTATCATTTTCATCACCACTCAGTAGCTTGCAAATACACTTGCAAACATGAGAATAGCTCCAGTCACTCTAGACAAAGTAAGGTACAGCTTAACTGTTGAAGCCCAGCTGGCAACCATTTATTCTATTTATCTTATCCACCAAAGGGACAGATCTGCTAGTAAGACAGCTGCTGTGCAGCAACTCCCTGTACTTTAGTAATTTAATCTGCATCTGCAGCCCTCTTCAGACTGCCTGGACTAACCTTCCAGCTTGTACACAAAAGCTATTAAAGCAATTCTGCTACGCACTAGTTAAGCTATTGTATCTTTGATAAAAATGGTGAAATAATGTACGAGACTAAACAGACTATTCTTACAAGATAGACAGCTAAGGTAAGTCTTACCATTGCAAGGCTAGAATACAAGGCTAGCCCTTGTGACTGCTGGGTAAGATTACAGAGCCAAGGAGTCAGAAGAACAGCAGCTTTCTGGATCAGTTTGTTTCAGGTTCAACCACCTTGGCAGACAGAGCTCCAACCCAATAGGTAAGCAGCAATAAGAGTAAGTCTCCCCTTCTCTTGCTCTCCAAATCTCCACCGCCCTGGTGGGATAAAGTGTCTGCAAAAGTCAGTAAGGACAAGGACACAGTTCAAACACACCCAAACAGCCTCTGCACAACAGGACTTTGTGTATGAAGCCAGCATTGAACGCACATCAGAACAGGATATGCAGCAGAATATCAAAGGCTTTAACTACTCAGTGTCCTGTACTCTTATTTCTAGCCTAAGATCTGCATCTGGAGTGACAGCAGAAAACTAGAGAACTGCTTACCTGCAGAAGGCAGTGTCCTGTTCCACTAGAAGTGAGATAAGCTCCTTAACAAGCCTGCTGCTCCAGTTTCCTAGAGCTTCTATCTTGTGTGATAAATTGGATAGCAAAGCAGGTTTTAAACTAAAGCTCTCAAGAGCTTTAAGAAAGCTTACAGAGACAAGCAGGACTCCCTCTCAAGAGACCAGAAGGATTGCTGGCTGGTCAGTCACCAAAGTGAAATCACTAGCTAAGAGAAACATCCGCTCACATTCAATTCAAAGACCCCCTTGTTGAAAGGGAGCAGGAGAGCTTAATTCATCCAAAGTCAACACATTTTGCTGTTTAATAGATCTTTAATATCAGTAATGTGGGAAGTGACATCTCAGCGCACAACAGCACAGAGACTACAGTTTTGGAGGTTCTCCCATTTCAGACACAGAAAGGAAACATAAGGAAGAACATGCAATCAAACAATGATCAGCTCTAGATAAATCATGAGGTTTGGTCCAAAAAAAAAAACATTGAAACAATTAATCCAATTACTGCAAACATAGCTTCTCTGAGTAAGGTTAAGATATTGCATTTGTAGTGTTTCCATTGTGCTTTCCTTCAGCGAACCAGCGGAGCCTGCTTGAGTGAGATGAGGACCGAACGCATGCGGGACACATCTTTTGCCTGCTTACTAGACTTGGGATTAAAGTCACAGAGCTGAGCCACACGTTCCCACTCAGTGCCCGGAAAAATGTCTTCTGCATCATTCACAAAGGCTTCTTCAGCTGCCCTAAAAGCAATGCAATGCACCTTGCGTTAATGCCCAACATATAAGACACTCCTTCCCTCTTACCGGGTGCAGTTTCTTAAGAAATGTGACCTGACAGCTGCTTGTGGACATTATGGCTACTTAAGCTCCCACTGTCCCAACCCTGGAGATGAAAGTAGGTTGCAGTAGTATGCTATGCACAAGCAGTGCAGAGGATTGCTGTGTAAAATGTTGGAATACAGGTGTTTGGTTTTAAGAACAGTAATTGAGTCTTTGCCCAAGGAGTCACCACACAAACAACCAGGAAGTAAGGTACTCCTATGTAGGCATTTCATGGAGAAATACACAAGTCTTAACTATTATGCCTCTGCCATATTGGACACTTGCCCACTAGAAATTTACAACTCCCTGGAAGCATGTCTTAAAACAGATTCCATTTGAAGATTTAAATCAGTGCCAAGGCCTACAGACTATCATAAAACTATCTGCTGATGATTCTCAATGCTGCAGTGAAACAGCATGAATCAATATGAATTTAAGTCATGAATCCCATGCTTGTGGGTGCTATAGACAAAAGCATAGGGGATGACTTGTTTGAGGTTCACCTCACAGGATAAACACATTTCCCCTGCTCTCACACTAAGGAGTTTCTAAGGAGGCTTTGTACATTATGTACAGGTTAATGCCAGTGGCTTCCCAACTATCCTTTTGGCATTGCTATGCTGCCAAGAGCATTGCTTCAATGCAGGGATAACACTCCAGCATCATGAACTGTGGGGCCCTAGTAGCTGCCTGGAGTGCAAAAGCAGTAAGCATCAAGAGATAAACCAAATCCATCTACTCCAACAAGCAGCACAGAAAAAGCAGTGAAGATGACTCTCCCATGAAGTTTCAGCACTGTTCACAGGGATGGTAAGGTTACAGACACCACTGAAGACAAGGGTCACTACAACACTGCTACTTCATGTGACATGACACTTTTAAGGGGCAGCGAAGATTTTTTTACTTAACTGTTCTAGGCTGTAGCAAGGATGATTTATGTTTGTGCTTAAAGGTGAAAAGAAGAAACAAGGAGAGAAAGTTTAAGTCAGATATAGAAAATGAGAATGAATTTAATGCAGATGATCAGCTGACTGAACATGCATAGTAGCTTAGCCTACATTCAGGAAACAGGCTGTCAATTTTATTCTGCAGCACTTATACTGCACATTTGCATTGAATGTATGCAAAAAAGGGCTTTATTGGAAAGATCTATCAAAATCAACTCCAGAAGACGTCAGAAAAGTCAAACACCACCTGTAAATCCATCATTTCACAAGTCTTGGTTTACATCCACCTACAGGTAGATAGTTAATTCCACACTGGATCTTCAATATTAACACATTCAAAGCCACACCATGGCTGACCAATACACCTTCTAAAGATGTCACCTTAGAATCTGTGACATGGCCATCTTTCCATTCACATCTACATATTAAGGGAAGAAATTAAAATACACGAACAAGCCAATGAACATTGCAATCCTTCCACCCCATGGAAACCAGCATACTGATTGGGGTTTGAAAGTCATGGCTGTGTTTTCATTGATCCATTAGGCTAGCAAAATGTCTACAACGAGCTGCTCCTAAATGTTCTCCCAGCAGCTAATGCTGATTTTCCAATGCCACCTTCTTGTACTTTTCATCTTTTCTCTAGTAGCATCCTATTTCTATATGCACACCCCACTTCTATCCTGATTTATAGCAGGTGATTCCTTTCTACCTTCCTTGTCTTGCAAAGCTTTACATGTAAGCATTGCTTGAATATTTTTCTGATTATGTAGGCAAATAAGCACAGATCACAAGCTCAATGCCTGTTACAGAGAATGCAGAGTTAAACATTGTGCTTCTCTGTGGAAGTGACTCAATGCAGCACCCATGAGAGACTGCAAACACCAACACACCCAGCAAAGCTTCTTGCTAAGCAGTGTTCACTGACCTGGAAACAACTGTGAACCCCTACATTTAAAGACTACTGAAGTCATTATCAAAATTCCAGTGACATGTATACTACATGACTTAATCTGAAAGTGCTGGATGTTGTGCAGAGTACGGGATCATTACAGGAAAAACTCATTTAATACTGCAAATCAGTGTCAGTCCAAAAAGTAAAGGCTATTTACTTATATTAGCTTATACTGCCCTGAAATACTCAGAAGTCACCTTCAGACATTCAGCACTATTTCTGATCCTCATCATTACCTACTGTCTAGCAAAGCAAATCAGTAGTTAAGCAACATACACATAACCAATCACGTCAGCGAAGGGTTGTTTGTAGAAAGCTTCATCTGCCACCCTAGGTAGCAAGTAGTCCAACAGGCAGGCAAGCAGGCAGGAGAAAAGAGATAAGGATGAGAAGTACAAAACAGCTGAAGGCAGTTTTAACAAGCACATTAACCTTTTATCACCTAGACTTAGTGTAACAGGAAAGCAGCTATCATATGGAACGTGTCAATTAAGTCATTGACTCAGAGGGGCAACAAAAGCTCTGCTACATCCTAGAAGTTGGGATCAGCTTGTTTAGGACTAGAGTCCCAGTGTCAGCATAAGTCTACTTCCAGCAGACAGAAAGTACCATTAGGAAAGAGATCTCACCAGGCTGACGAGGTCAAACACTCTTTCTGCGCAACACTTGTTAAATGGACCCTGCTCCAGAATACATATCCTGGACACAATAAAGCTATGGGGGTATCATGAGCTCTGGCCACCAACTATAAGAGTGCCAATCCTATGTCCCTTTCTTGGCCCAACCAAAAGACTGTACCTTGGCGAATGGAAGTGTCAAATCCATAATTCTGTAGGAAATGTAGGCCTCCTTCCTTCCTTTAGCAAGAAGCAGAGTCTGTCTAGGACTGTACTTACTCAAGACAAACTTGATGGCCATTTTGGTAAGAAAAATGGTGTTTCAAAAAATCAGTTCATCTTGAAGTCTGTGGTTCCCAAAGTATAAAACAGCCCTGATGACACCTGGACAGAAGGACACTGGCAACCCCAGGTCAGAAGCAGAGATCTAAGTGGTATTAAGTCAGTACCATCACATCTACCTTTAAGTCAAAATTCCACAGTGAACCTCTAAGTGTAAGAGCTTACTCGAGCAGCAGCCAAGTCACTAGTTTCTACCCCAGGGTCGATAATTACACAATTCAAACCCAGCACAGACACAGTCACCACTGAGTTCTTCACTAGCAGAACTGAGTCAGGTTATTTCTCAAACGCTTCCAAAAGAAGTGGCCAAAAGTTTTAAGATACCTAATGAAATAACTTGTAGCAAAGACTGATTAGAAGGCCACTTCCACACATTCTAAAGACAGCAAGTAAGATTGCTAGTCTCAAGGCAGGTAATTACAGTCACCTGTGCAGCTAGGAGCATGCAAACAAGTGGGCAGACTAAAACATTTTCTGGCCACATCCAAAATCTGTGTCTTAAGGCAGTAATTCTGATTTGTTATCTTAATCCTTTCTCTTGCTATTCTTGGACATTTAATCTAGATTCTAAGAAAACTTAAAAAGACAGTCTACCACTGAAGACCCATTCCTTAGTAGGAAAGGTTATTTTAGTGTCTGAGGGACTAGTGTCTCAGGACATAATAGAAGTATTCTAACCTCCCTCCTCCATTACCTTCATATCCAGTACCATAGTTCTTCAGATTGCTGGATAAATCTTACCTATTGCTGGCTTTTGTTTTCTGGAGCTTTTCATCTTGCCTTGCATACCACTCCTCCAACTCCTTTATTGCTTTCTCTTTCCATTCTGCTTCCTGTTTTCGTGAGTTTGCATCTGAAGATTTAAGAATTGATTTGTCAGTCATGTTTGTTCCAGCTGGATCTTGCTAACATTTCAGCTGATGGCACTCTAGTGCACTGAGTTGCTTGATCTACTCAGCTAAGTGTTAGATTTCCTGATTTAGGCCATGAGAACTCCAAATACCATGACTATTCAAAGATTTACCTAAAAGCAATGCCTGCATTGCATAACTGGGACAGTTCACTTCAGTTTAGGATAAGCATTTGTAGACTAACTCAGATTCAGTAAGTCTGTTGGCCTGCAAACTGTTTAAAACCAGCAACAGTCACCTTGCTATGCTAGTGCTAGAACCTCAGTAAAGCCTCTTAGACAAACTGTGTGAGCATAGCACTCTGCATACTTTTACACTCTATAGCAAGCTTTCAGTTCAGGACAAGCTCACCTGCTGTAACTAGCCCAAAAGAGAAGCAATAGGCTCAGTTCTGTCCAGAATCACATTGCACAGAAGCTTCTGTCTCAACGTTTTCAGGCAAAGCCTTCTCCCTAATCTACGTGGAAGCATACCAGTTTTTAGGCTCTTAGAAGCTGTCCACAGGTAGCATTTGATAGCTGTATTTAGTTTAGTTACTAGCCCATTACTTAACTCAGCTATTAGATTTAAGATCCACATTACAACAGATGGCCTCAGCAATAATAAAATGAGCAATCTTTATCCTTCAAAAAAAATGCTGATGGTTGCAGTATTTATTCACTCTTTTCTGCTGACAAAAGCTGTTCATGTTCTTGTCACCTTATTTGTAAGTAAAGGCCAGGCCACATGAATACTCTTAAGGTTCAGAGAGCCACTTGCTTGCTGACTCCTTCTGCTTACTGGAAGATTTATCCAGACTTGCTGCTCAAACTTAAGAAGCATGTTAGGTTCCCAAAAGCCACAGCTAAGAATTCTGCTGCTTAAGAAGCCATCACTAAGTTACAAGCAAGAACACTACTGCAACAAACACCCTCCTTACCAAGTTGCTCCAGGCGCTCCTTTTGCTCCTCTCTCCACTTACGAATACTCTCTGGTTCAGACTGCAGTCGATCTACTTGAGATATGGCAGCATAGGAGTCTGTTGGACCATTACTCTCCTTCAAGGGAAGGAATAGTAATGTGATTTATAAGTGACAACTGAATATTTAGCCTGCAAGCTACACAAAATTAGAGTATTTGAACTGAGCACACAACACATTCTGATGTTATACCTCATCTCCACCATTAATACGAAAAACATCTTGCCACAAATTACAGCAAGATGGAAGCAGGTTAATTCAGGACTGCCTCTAGCAATCAAGGATCAAATACAAATCCCAGTTGACTGGGAAGTCAAACTGTGCCAGAGCTCTGAAGAAAGCAAAAGACAACGCCTAGCAGTTGTAGGCCTAGAGATCCTCCAGCTTGTTTCCCCTTAAATATTTGCTGTGAAAGTAATTTTTTTTTTTATGATTTTGTGCATAGGAGTTTAAAACTTTCTCTGTAACTTATTTGTCTACTTCAGAGACATTTGCAAACATAACTTATATTAAAAGCCAATGTCCTTTAAAGACATTACAGAATTTGGATTGCTGTATGCAGCTTAGAACAGAAGAGGCATTTCAACATTTAAGCATCAAAACCGTGTAAGTACTAGCATACTTTTTACTATACAATAGCTCAAAGACTTGCAATGAATAAGGCTATCATTAATACACCAGATTTGCAAAGCTAATGAATATTGGACTATTTGCCACGGGGCATACGCTGAGTTCAACCACTTTTATTGGTTCACCACACTCTTAACAAACCTAAGAAATACCACTCCTGACAGCACCAGATGGATTACACCTTAAGATAGATTTGGCTGCATCTTTCCCCTCTTTGGGCCTCCTGTAGCCCTCAATGAAGGAATAATGCAAAGATAAGGAGCTAGGCTGGTGCAACAGCATCAGCCTTCACATTCAATCCAAAACAAAATAAATTGGCCAGTTGCAGGTCCAAACTAGTTACATGTAGCTAAAACAGAAGTCACATATAGCCCATTCAGTCTGTTCTTCCTCATTAAGAGGAAGCTCAATCAAAGCAGCTAATCACTTAGAACTGCAAACAAAATCAAGGTATTTCATCTACCTTCTGTTGTAGAAGAAAGCATGAAGGGCCAGTAAGATACAGTTTTCCAACCAATCTTAGAGCAATGGTGAGGATATAAAAATCTTAGCAGCACTGAAAGCTGTTTGTGTCTCCACAAAGCTCAGTGTTCACTTAAAACTCCATGGCAAAGTAGCTCATATGCTGCTCCCTTCCCATGCATTCATTTAATCAGGGCTACCCAGCCAACTCTGATACCAGGCAATGACAATGCCTTAGCCAAACTGGCATGAAATTCAGTTACAGCATAGCAGCTGTCTTAGCATGCCTCATCATCAATGGGCTGAGGACAACACTATGACATTTAACGAGGCCAAGTGCCTGGCCCTGCACTTCAGTCACAACAACCCCATGCAGCGCTACAGGCTTGGGTATGAGCGGCTGGAAACTGCCCAGCAGAAAAGGACCTGGGGGTACTGGTCAACAGCCGGCTGAACATGAGCCAGCAGTGTTGCCAGGCAGCCGAGAAAGCCAACAGCAACCTAGCTTGCATCAGAAATAGCATAGTCAGCAGCAGTAGGGACGCGATCATGCCCTTGTACTTGGCACTGGCGAGGCCACACCTCGAATACTGTGTGCAGTTTTGGGCACCTCAATACAAGACAGACAATGAGGTGCTGGACCATGTCCAGAAAAGGGCAACAAAGCTGGTGAAGGGTCTGGAGCACAAGTCTAACAAGGAGCAGCTGAGGGAACTGGAGTTTTTAGTCTGGAGAAGAGGAGGCTAAGGGGAGACATTATCACTCTCTACAACTACCTGAAAAGAGGCTGTAGTGAGGTGGGGGTCAGTCTCTTCTCCCAAGCAAGAAGTGATAGGACAAGAGGAAATGGCCTCAAGTTGTGCCAGGGGAGGTTTAGATTGGACATTAGGAAAAATTTCTTTACTGAAAGAGCAGTCAAACATTGGAACAGGCTGCCCAGGGAAGTGATGGAGTCACCATCCCTGGAGGTGTTCATAAAAATGTGTAGATACGGCACTTCAGGACATTGTTTAGCGGGCATGGTGGTGTTAGGTGAACAGTTGGACTTGACGACCTCAGAGGTCTATTCTAACCTAACGATTCTATAATTCCTCCCTGACACTAATAAAGCAAGTATCTCCTCCCTTTTGTCATTACCATGGCTGACTAACATGCTTTCATGCTATGATTAAGCTACTTAGCCACTAGCTTAATTTCATGCAACTAAGAAGTGTATAATGTTTTCAGTCAGCTCCTTGTAAGACCAATCTTGATAAGACAACCAGGACATCTAAATTATCCTTAAACAACAAGCAATTCAGAAAACTCTGCTTTAAACTAGGTAGCCAGAGCATGCTTTCAGCTTATTAGCCAGTGGTAAATCAATGTTAAGTAATACCACAGAGCCTGTCAGTCTGCTTACAGCGGTTATGTTCTATTAAGCCATAATTAAAAATGACCTGCTGCTTTAAGTTGCCTCTAAGTTCAGAAGAGGGGCATATCATCAGCATTAACAGCTTTATGAGATGAGCTATCAGAACAGAAGTTCCTCTTCAGAGATAAGATAAAAGTACACTAGTGACAAGAATGGGGAAGTATTGGCCTAGATCAAGATAAAGTTCTCAGAGTAGAACAACACATTCTAAGTACAGAATACTTCTATCTTACCTGATAGACACCTCCATTAACCACTCCATCAACAGCACCTGTAAAGAAGTGACTGTAGTTTAGTCATTTGAGAAAAGACAGAACAGCCAGATTTACTGATTTCAGTAACTTGTATGGAAAGCTTTACTACAGTATCTAATGGGGGAGTTATACAAATGAGTGTTACTTGATACCCTGCAGGGTCTCTTCCATATCTCTGCACTTTTTCAGATAGGCTCAAGACACCAAGTGAGCCATTATTCTGCAGAACCAGTAACATAAGGTCATTTCTTCATCATCAGGCCATGCTTCAGATTACATAAAACAGCAGAGCTGATGCTGCTAAGAAGCTGCTAAACACTGTACTCTAAAGCTACTCCCATTTTCTTCTCCCTGTCTTAGAAGCTGACTATTAGACAACTGTTCAGAAGTTAAGAAGCATGACTTTCACTGTTTTAGTCTCTACCTGGAAGAATAACAATGCTGCAGCAACACTTAGTAACTCTTGTCCTAGTTTGATTACCTCCCAGTTCCTAATCAGCTCAAAAGATACAGCTAACATTCCTAGCAAAGTCACCTTTCTGCTTCCTTCTGCAATGCCATGTTTGATAGCTTCCTACTTCAGCTGCAGCATTATTCGCTCTGAAGTGACACTGACAGTAGAGGTCAAACAGGATCACCAAGGAATCTTTGCCACAGTACCCTAAAATTTCATCTTATTAAAACACAGCCATAGGGAACGTATGTCAGTGGTGATACAACATTTAGATTTGTGAAACTCTTTAAAAAAATCTCCAGACTATGCAAAACACACCAAGATTTTCAAGAACTGCTAAGCCTTCAGCAAGGCATCTCTGCAACAGCACTATATAACATCTGCCTGCACGATGTAACAAGACGACATGTTCCTACCTTTGTGTCATCCATAACGCTACCATGGATAAACATCACACAAAGCGTTTCTGCCATGTTAATACCTTCTTCAATGAAAGAGAAGACTGTATCAAAGTCATCCAATAGTAAGAAAATTATTTTGCACCACATTCTTAAATAAGACAGCTAATTCACCTAAAACTAAGAGCATTATGCTGCTGTATCCTCTATTTCTTTGTGGCTATGTATGCCCCAGTTTCACACTAGTAGTGTTAATGGCACACAGAGAGCTCTTCATATTCCTTTATCAGGGGACCAGGCAAGTATTACTAAGTCCTTATCCCTGAGCCCCGAATAGCAGTCATTAACTGTATCTGGTAGAAGATGGTAAAGTCATCAGTTCAACCATGGTAGTTGTTGGAAGATATTAGTCTCCAAGAACATAGCTACTAACTTCAGTAGGGGAAGACTCAAGGTAAAAAAACCACCTAGTTTTTCAGTTATGAGAATCTAGTATTTTATAACTAGACTCCCATATCTGAACAATGGTAGCTACTTTGATTGCTACTCCTCTACAAGTTACAGGAGCCAAAAAAAATTGAGAGGCACATAAAGCTAACAGCATCTGTCTGCTTCACATTTAAAGGCTAGCCTTTAAATATATGTGGTTCTCATCTCCAGAAACCAGGCAGTTGTTTCATGAGAGAGACTCCTTGGGAGGCACTGACTCACCAGCTAAATAAGAGGGCTAACAAGTCTTGAAGAGTCTTCCAAGAACTGTGATAATATGATCAAGTTTCTTGTTACACCAAAAAACATTCATTAAGGCTTCAGTACTCAGGCTGGTATTCTGGTGAGGTAAAAGGAACAATTTCATTGCTGAGGGCTGCAGCTGAAAGAAAACAGTTGTGTTTGTCTTAGGGCTGCTTTTCTTTTGCATCGCAACAGCCACTAACTGGCATAGAGGTAAGTGTTTCCAGAGGGCACCCAGGTCAGAAGCATTTAAAATAATAAAACAAACTTCTCATCTGTTTTGAGCTCCCTAGAACTTGTGATTAAGATGCAGAGTCAGCATGCTGACTGAGCATACTGCAAGTAGAAGAGGAAATGGCACTGTACTAGCATCCTGTTATGCTAATACAAGTACGCTAACTGGAACAAGACCAATAGTCAAACATTCTGTTATTTCAGCTCTCCAGTCTTAGTGTTTGCATAATTCAGAATGAAATCTATAAAAACTATCTCCTTACCAGCCATCAGTAATCAATGCTAGTTGTGTACCAAATTTCTTTGTCCTCAGAAACATATAATTTCATACCTGATTTCCCACAGAAAAAAACTAAACACTGTTACTGCTACCATCATGTTTTCATTGGCCATAAACGATAAGGAGGACAGAAGAGGTGCCTGAGGACAGGAGGACAGCCAATGTAACTCCAATCTTCAAGAAGGAGGATCTGGGAAACTACCAGCCAGTCAGCCTCACCTCCATTCCTGGGAAGGTGATGGAACATCTCATTCTGGCTGTTACCTCCAAGCACACGGAGGAAAAGAACATTATCAGGAGTAGTCAGCATGGATTCACTAAGGGGAAATTGTGCTTGACTGATCTGATAGCCTTCTATGATAAAATGACTGGCTGGGTGGATGAGGGGAGGGCAGTGGATGTTGTCTACCTCGACTTCAGCAATTTGTCCATTTTGACACCGTCTCCCATCACATCCTCATAGGTAAGCTTAGGAAGTGTGGGACAGATGAGTGGACAGTGAGGTGGATTAAGAACTGGCTGAAGGACAGAGCTCAGAGAGCTGTGATCAGGGGTGCTGAGTCCAGCTGGAGGCCTGTGACCAGCAGTGTTCCCCAGGGGTTAGTATTAGGGCCTGTCCTATTCAATACATTCATCAACAACCTAGACAAAGGGACAGAGTGTATCCTCAACCAATTCGCTGATGATACGACGCTGGGAGGAGTGGCAGATACAGCGGAAGGCTGTGCTGCCATTCAGCAAGACCTTGACAGGCTGGGGAGCTGGGTGGAGATGAACCGAATGAAGTTTAATAGAGGCAAGTGCAGGGTCCTGCACCTGGGGAGG